ATATTTTCATAAAATTCATATATCTATTACGCCAAAAAAGGACCAAATTCCTTAAAAATTGCTATCACACTTAACTTTGTAAATGCAAAAGATATGTGGATATTTCTCTCTCTGATATTCTATAACTTATAATATTAAATTAAAAACGTAATAAAATTCAATAAATTGTATATAAATCTATATAATTTGTTTATTTATTTTTTATTTTTCTTATTTATTATATAAATTTTATATGTTTTTAAATGAATATGTAAAATTAAATGAATATGTAAAAAGCTTATATTTAAGAATAATTAATTAATATATATCTTCAAAAACTTTAAATGTTTTAATAACATAATAACTTTAAATGTTTTAATAACATAGATATCGCTGAGCGTGCACTATTTAACTTTTAATTTTTCTCACTACATTTTATTTTTATTTCTTCTATAGTATAAATCGTAGAAAAACGACAACAATGATTTTGATATAGTCGATTATCAATTACAAGTTTATTTTTATTACCTATTTTTATTATTGAAAGAAGCATGACGTTTCAAGTTTTAAATGTTTCATCATAATTTATTTTTAATTCTTATACATCGATCAAAGATTATTATGCGTGAGAGAATGTATAAAATTAATCTGTTCATCTCATGCATGTATATAATTGGTCTGCTATTACGTAAGAGTTAGATTTAAGTAAAATAAGGAATTAAACTTTTTAAAAATTAAACGATTAAATAGTAAAAATTAGGTTTTTTTGTAAGTACTTAACTAAATTCTGGTAGAAATTTAAAACAATTTTTTTATTGGTTACTAAGCAGTTGTACTAATTTTTATCTAGTAACTGAATAATGAAATTCTTTATGATATCAATCGAAATATAATGTTTTTCTCGTAATTACTGCATAGTAAAAAAGTACAAAATTTGAATTTAGTTATTGAGTAATAAGAGAACAAATAAATAGATAAAAAAACTATGTAATCTAAATGTTTAGCGTCGAGTCACTACCAATGTCTCCAGATTATATACACGAGTAGAGGAGATGGAGAACAAAAGTAACAGGAGACAATAATAGCATTGTTAATATTTCTTAAATTATAATAGATATGTGTATACATAATAAAATTCTGTAGACAGATCGGCATTAAATCATTCGTTACATTTTCTACAAAAGTAAAGTTACTTTTTTCATGTATCAAATAAGTTTTATTGCATAAAATCTAAAATATTTTTTTTTCTTTATAACGAAAGTATAATAGCGTTATTGAGATCCGACCTTGATATGACGTAACAATGATCGGTTCGCATAAAAGAGGCAGTGTCTCGCACTATGCTTATAATTAGCGCCAAGACACTATCGTGTCTTCAGATTATCTTAATATATTTAATGATTATCTGTGTTGGTTTGCACATTTGAGTTAATTTTCATCTAGGTTTTTATTAAAAATAATTAAAATATTTAAAAATTTACTACAAATCATAAAATATCATTAGGGGACAATAGCTAACATCAATGCTTGGGGTCAGTTGTAACATTATAATTATCCCCAAATTTATTTGATTTTATTTTAATATTATTTTGTACAATGTTATTTGTATTTTTTTTTATAGAATCCCATTAACAAGAAAACACAAGACAGATAAGAGAAAAACATGTAATAGGAGTGTCTTTATACAAACAGACATTTAAAAAAGTTATAAAGGACCAATTATCCATTCGTGTTGCTGCAAAAAAGAGTATGACTTATGTAGCTGTGTTATGTACCTCGGCAAATGTAGTACAATTATCTCCTTCTACTGTTATAATCGTTATTATTATCGTCCCCGGGATTGGGACGGTTGTAACAAAATTCCTTATAGTCTTTAAACAAATATAACTTTTTTTCTAGTTACTCAAAAAATTAAACCAAAGGAAATTTTGTAACTAAATAAATTCTACATCTAAAGGTACATATTTTTTTAATGTAAATTTATATAATTTTAATTGTTATAACACTTTAAAGTCAAAATGTTGCTTTTGTCTCCGATCTTCCTTACTCTTTGTATAATGCAAAGGAGCTATATAAATAATACAAGAATAACCTATCAGAAACCGTATGTATACTAGAATGCACTGCTTCTAATAGGTTATTTCTATTGCTATCGCTAATGTCCAAAGGGCACAAATGTTTAAACACAATGATAAGCGCAGGTAATAATAGGGAAATAAGGTGCAGACAATATAGATTTCAATTAGAAACTGCTGCATGATTTTTGATAGTTGAAATGCATTGCCTATGTTTATTCTTTGTTTTCTAACCTCTCTTAAAATCCTTGTAACAGGATTGCGTGCTATAAACTCTAAATTTTTTAAGTTTCTTTTTCTTCGCTCATATTTTTGTACGTGTTTTTTCACGCCTTTCATATTGCACATTTTTAATTATATTATAACTTGACAAGAAACATAAAAATAAGTATATGCTTTACAGAGCGCGATATAATTATATCATACTATTATATTACATGTGAGTATTGCATAATTTAACTGAAAAATGGATTATTTTTTTAATATTGATACAAAACCTTTTATAAAGAATTGACTCACATATTGAAGAGTAAAACTGCTTTAACTTAATATTTTTGTATCATAAAGAAAATACGTAATACTAGATACATAATATGGAAATCAGTAATACTAGATAGTTATTGACTAGTTCAGTCAAACTATACAAATTTCTACTAGGAAATAGTTACGTGGAGAGAATAGTTACATAGTTACATAAACTAAAAATTTTTAGAAATTATTTAAAAGCATCTAATATCCAGCTTTGATCGTAATAGGCATTAAACTCTTACTTGTGCAAAAATTTTTACTTTCTTTTATATAGTGTTCCATTTTAATTGATATCGGTTGTCCTTGAAAATAAAGTATTTTCAAGGAAAAAATATTTCATATGAAAGAACTTATAAGGGGAGGAGTTTAAGTAGCAAATTTTACATCAAAATTTTAAATCAAAATATGACTTGGATAGTATTATTAAGGTCACGTAAATTTCTATTTAAAAATCATAAAATTTTTAAATAGAAATTTCTAATTTTGATTGCATATTTTTGTAGCTAACTTCAAAAACTTTACGAATCACTATAATAAAGTAATATTTCATTAAGTACTTTTCAAGTTATAAAACTTGAAAATTACTTCCGACATTATCAAGGTCTTTACGCTATCTTGATATCTTGATTGATGAAATTTCTATTATTAACTCTTATTTCAATTTTTTGTAAAACATTAGAACATAAATAAAAATATGATTATAGATTATAAAAACATAATTTTTTATTGATGGAAAAATTAGAATTGATAAAAAATCAATATAAAAATGATATTTAAATTATAAAAGTAAAATTAGTAATATTGATATATTAATGATGACGCTAAATAATGGAAAACGAAGAGGAAAGGGAACGAAGCTAGAAGGGGAATATAAGAATCGAGTAGAAACGAGAACTGAGGAATTATTTGAGTTCGCCAGTTCGACAAATGTAATCTTCGAGAATCTTACGTCAAAATACATTGTGTAATAAGATTTGGCCAAATAACGATTTTTAAAAACGTACGTAAAATCTGTCTAGATAAGTCTTGAAAAATTTGATTTATTAGACAATCCATCTGAATATTTAAAGATCAAAACGAAAACTCTGGGAGCGAAGTCTAAACACAATTTTTACTTGGGACTTGCTAACATCGAAGGAACTCACTAGTTTTGAAAAAACTTGCCGACATTGAAGAAACTAGTTCTCAATACTTAGATTACGACAGAAATATAGTTAAAGGTAACAATTGCAAAAGCATTGGATTTTTCTCTTTCCTTCGCGCTCTTGCTCCAAAAATTACATAATTATTAGTTATAAATAATAAATTTGTCGTAAAATTTATACGCATCTTATGTTGTACACACGGACATTTTATTAATATGAGCCAAATTTTAAATGCAACCTCTTTTCCAAATTAAATTCCTTTAACATCGATTCATTTAATTGCTGCTTTCTTCGATCTATTTACCTACAAATTAAATCTCAATTTTAATTATAAAACTTAAATTTAATTACATTTGTATTTTATGCTTCTCGGTTTTAATAAAAGGATAATAATTTAATAAATATATATCTATAGAGAGTTACACATTGAAATTTCGTAATATTGAATCTCGGTATTAAAGCCTTATTATACACGCTAAACATGTAAGTATAGTGTGAATGGAAGTAGCAATAGAACCTCCAATACAGCCCCAAATTTCGTGGTTTGGAAGTGAAATAGGCACAACTTTGTTCAAACGAATCGCACTCTATTACGAGATTTTAGTGTGTATAAAATTCTTTTGTATCAACGTAACGACGCAATAATTAATTAACAATTTCATCCATGTGTAATATAGGCACAAGGATTCTTATTTTTTACACTTTACACAAATTAATTATTAAACAATTGTTTACTTTATCATATTAACAAAAATATTTAAAAAAATATATATATATATATAGTTCATTAGGTAAAGTAATATTCATGTTTGTTTACTCTTATGTAGAATTATAATTTCACATACAGTTTTTATTCATATATATAGTGTTTTATATATATAATCTAAAATATCCAAGTTTATTGTCACTTTTAACCTTTAACTAAATCTTTTAAGAAGCAATTTCACGATTTCTCTTTGATTTCACGTCAATCTTGATCGACCGAATTTGAGAGTTGCTAACTACTAAAAACTTATCATCTATAACCTAATTTCTTATGAACTCGCTCATTGGCTGGATTTATTTCTACTTAGATCACGTAATCACGCGTATTCGAATTACCAACTCCTAGTCAATGATCTGTTCTTTTTAATTACATTTCTTGCACAATTAAGCTCTTCTTTACGAAACAGAACAGACCATTGACTCAGAGTCGCGTCGAATCAGTAAATCAAATACGCTATTAGTTGAGTTCCTCTAAAATATTATTTTAGATACATTTTGATACAAAGATACACATTTTGATACAAGATACAAAGTAAACATAACTGGTTATAGTTACGGAGTTAAGAAATGTAATTAGTTATATACACAGATGCACAACAAATATTTAAATACAATGACTAGATACATGTATTTAGATATTTTACATTACTGGTAACTAGTCATAAAAAGAATAATTAAGAGACAGCGTGATAAACAAAGTGAAAATTTTAAAAAGACAATATACAATTTGGTAGATATAATTATACAATTATATAAATCTCAATAGCTTTTCTTTCTTAATTATCCGCTACCGTAAGAATTTAAGTGGATACATTAATCAATATTTTTAAAACGTATATGTTAAACTCAGATACTTAGACAACCAATTCTTCACTCAAAGAAAAATATCCAAACTAATTGAACGGCTAATTGGAAAAGCAATTATGCAATTATGAATAAAGAATACTTATTACATACTTTTTGTTATATGTTTTTGCATTGTTCTTACGTTTCAAGATGCATAATCATTCTAATCGATCAACAAAGTTGTTTACTCATTTAATGCTTTAACAATGCTTATTTTAAAAATATTGATCAATGTGCCCGCTCAAAATTATTGCTGAAGGTAGCTCAAATATGATCCGAAATGTACTGAGTTTCGTACTAATTATATCCAATGAATCATATATTTCATCTTTTTAAAATTTTTGCGCATTATTTACTGTGTATTATTTACAAAAAATTGCCCTTCTTGTACTTGTATATTTAATATTTTCGAAAGTCTTTATTTATTAAAGTTTATTTCTTATACAAATTACTTATATTTAAATATATGTATAATAGAATGTATATAATATATATATTAAATATCCATATGCATTCACTATTTAAGAAACTATAAGAAATAATTTCCTTGATCAGAAATCGAAACATCAAACACAACTTAGACATTTAATGTATTTAAATATCTGCACATATTAACATTTACATTCTGTTGTTTCAGAAACCTTGAGAACTGAAGGCTCGGGTATCGTACGATTAAACTGCATGATTGTTGGAATATTAAACAATCAACATGTTTTTCTATCTATTTAATGTATTCAGCATTATACTATTTGGATTAGCATCTGGAGAATTACCCTTCCGTAAATCTTCTATAATAATTCTTTTTTATTTTTTTTTTCTAACTGAATTCCATGAATTACAAAATCCGATCGAAAAATGTCTAATTGCATAGTCGCGCTTTTCTTATTTCATGTCAAAAAATACCAAGCAACATTGATAGCATTGTTTTCTTAACATTTATAACAGTAATCACCATAATTACTGTTATGTGATTGACAATTGTGTGATTATACAATTGATTTAGTATACCTACGTTAATCAGTTCCAGTTTAATAAATCAGTTTTTCAAGCACAATAATGATAATGCATTGTAAAATACGAAAGTACCAGTTTGTTGAATCTATGATGCGAGCAATTTATCGTACTGCGCAGTATTTAAGCAGTTAATAATATTATCATATTGACATTTATAAATCTGTACGTATCATTCTATTCGCATAAAATATTTATGTTAACAAAATCATATGTAATGTTAACAAAATCAATGTTAAGTTGACATAAGAATGTCTTCAAATAATAGATATATTATACAATTAAAATAATATATTTAAAATAATATATTATATATATAAGTAAAAACATATTAAATATTATATATTAGTTGTACAAATTTATGCAGAAATACTTAAATTAAATATTGTGACAGCTACTCATTTATTAATCGTTTTATTATAAAAAGTAACTTTTTTGCTAGATACGTATTTTATATTTTTCTGAGGAAAATGAATGTTCTTATTTACATTTAGGAATAGTAGCTTTTAATAATGATAACACGTATAAATCATGAGTATTATAAATGATGAATTACATATCGTAATATTATTAACTACATCATTTAAAAAAAAAAGTGAAAAAATATTTGTATGTGTTTTCTCTTACTATAAAACGTAATGAAATGTGTTGAATAGCTTATACATATATACTTGTCAAAAAGATAGATACTTTTTAAATCATAGTTTGAATTATATTTTATTAAAACAATTTATGAATTTTTATAATTTTACTATTAATTCATTTTATTCTATTTAGCTGCAACCATCTGCAAACGAGATTCAGTTGATTATTCCGCTTGTTTAAAACAAGCTTTTGAAGAAGCATTTCCACGGTTTGTCAAAGGTATCTTTATTAAAAATTTATAAGTTATTCTGTTATTTTAATTTATACATATCTTTTAAATAAAATATGTTTATTTATATTTAAAATTACATTATTATGCGATATGAACAGAATGAATATTACGAGGAATATTATCAACGTTAACAGTAAATAAAATGTCATAAATCTATGAATTTATGAATTGTAATTTCAGCTTATTTAAAGCAGATTAAAAATAATTAAAAATTATTTGATCTTGTTTGCTTAAAAATGTGAATATAATATATTTATTTATTTTGTAGGACTTACAGAATTTGATCTTCCATCACTGGATCCGTTAGTTTACGAATTCGGCAAAGTTGTATTTAATTCGGGGGATATACACGCAGAAGTTGCTTTGATGAATACTATTATAATCGGTATGGCAAAGGTTCAAGTTAATGACATAAGATCACACTTTCTTGATGACATTTTCCGTTTAGAAATTGACGCACTAGTACCGAAATTAATCCTAAAAGGTGCTGTGAAAATGAATGGTACTCTAAGTATATTCAGAATTGCTAATGAAGGTATGATAATAAATTCTGCACAGTCTGCATGAACAAACAAAGCTACATCATTTATTTTGTTGAACATAACATTTATATGCTCAAAATTAGTCATATTCGTGTAACATACAAAATTCTTTAAACAAAGAATTACGACAATTTGATTTGTTACACTCTCATTATTAATCAATTAAAATAATAATAATAATTTAATTCGTAAATTAGACAGTATACCTATACATATAAAAATGTATGTTTATTATACATTTTAATATCATTTTTCAGACAGAACTAGTATGTACTCAGTACACATTAAAACCGTACACATTAACCGTTGTACACTGATCTGAATGTAAAAGTGAGATCTCAATTGATAAAATACTTGATGTATATTTTATCAAATAGCATAATAAAATGTATTGAAGATTTCGTGATTTAACTCGTTTTTATATTTTATTATTAAATACATACATCTTTACATCTTTATTTATGAACAGCTTTAAGTGCATCGAGTGCGCATCAGTTCTATCAATGAAAAACGAAATAAGTCTAAATAGAATTAAAATTCTGTCCCTATAAAATAATAATTATAAGTAATACTGAAAAGTACTATAAATTAAATATTAAAGTATTAAATGTACTTAAATATTATATTTCTTTAATTTAATTATTCTTATAAAATAGTATTAATTAATTATCAGAAGGAAAGTTTGCGGCAATAATCCACAAATCTTTTGGTACCATTGAAGTGAATAGCATGGAAATTTCAAAAGCATTAAATTTTTACAACTATATATCATTATTTTATTCAGAAATATTATTAACCCTTAATATACACAATGATTATATATAATATATATTTTTTATCATATTATTATATTATAATTTATAGGTCCCTTTAATTTGACTGCTAATGATGTCAGCGGAACATGGAATATGACAGGGCATGTAGTAAACGATACATGGATTGTAGAACATATCCGTGTACTTCCGTCTGTTAGAAAACTTAAATTATATTTTGATTTATTCCAAGACAGTAAAGAGATTAGTTAGTATTAAATTAAGTTTTTTAGATATAACTACTCTCTTACTATTTTATTTAA